TTCTTGGATAAATGAGATTTCAAATTACATGAGAAACTGCTATGTTAAGTAAAGTGAAGGCATCAGATTATCATTTCTACAAGAAAGAAGGAAAGAATGTAAATTTTAATACAATGTAGGCCTGTCAGTATTTCCAAAGGACTTTGAAATTATCCCTCAAAGACTCTGATTGACTTTTAAAGTGAATTCAGCTTCTGTAGCAGTGCCTACAACGTCACCCTGAAGCCACTTACGAGTGTCAGCAAACAATTAAGTGAATGACAAAAATGCTGAGTCTCTGGAGATCAAACAATGATCCTGTTTGTGGGAATCACTACTATCCAGTTTTCTCCCGAGAATAATTATGTGTATAAAGTACAGCAGAAAAGAGGGCCCAGCCTAGCCCTGGAGCCTCATCCTTTCTGGCTCATCCACTATGTCCTACTCTGTGGCCCTGCCAACACTAAAAGGGTAAACTGGCCACTCACTCGACCCACTGGAATTGGCTTAGTTTACGGCCCTTGGTTGCTTTGCCAGACCTAGCTATTTCCTGCTCATCATTAACATTCAGCTCAACCATCACTCACCACTCTCCTGGGAAACTTCTCCAACCCCTGTACCAGTCCATGCCTGTCTTGTTTTCCCAGAGCACCCGGTGTTTCCTTCTACACAACACTTAGCACTATGTACTGTGTTCACTTGTATCCAAACTGTGAGTTCTTTGAAGGAAAGGCACCTGATTTATCTCTTAGTCAGGCCTAACATGGTGCTTAGTACTGAGTAAGCACTCAACAGACTGAACTGCATGAGACCTCAAAGGGGCAGATTTCGTGCTCTGATACTGTTGCTAGGAGCCAGCTCCTCTTCCAGGCAACAGCTGCAGGCTCCTCCCCCACTTGTCAGCCCTTCTGCAGGTGGCAGAAGCAGAGCAGATGATGCGGCTGTATCGCTACTGGTACTACCAAGGGAGAAAAACAAAACAACCAAAGTAAAAATCAGTTTAGAAAAAGTCCTGCGATAGTGCCAGCTCTAACCCTCCACACCCTTCTCTTGCCAGCATTCAGAGGCGGCTGCGGCGGCGGCTGCTGCTGCTGCTGCGGCTGCTGCTGCAGAGACGCCCCCTCCCATTTCTTTTAAGCACTTCTTTCAGCAGGGGCAAGTATTTGGCCCCTTCAATCTCACAGACCTTAATCCTAACCAGGAGAAAAAGAAAACATCCTTTGATCTTTAAGAGTAGATCTTCAGAGGCTACTCCATCTAAGTATCAGAAAGTAGTACTAGGTAGGTATGGTCCGAAAAAGAAATTACTTGATACTCAGACCAAAAAAAAGAAAAGGTATAAATGAGTGAATAAAGGAAAGAAAATGTTTTATTTTATCATTATCACCACTTTAGAGTGGCCTGAAACTTACTATGTAGTCCACGCTGGCTTCAAACTCACAGCAATCCTTTACCACAGCTTTCCAAGTGCTGGGATTACAGGCAAAACCCACTATGCTTAGCCTAATGATTTAACCGTAACAGCAGAAAGGCAAATCCTATGGAAGAAATGTTATCTTAATGGACCAACACACCATAATGCTGACAAGCAGAAGGAAGGAAAGAAGGTAGAAAAAGATAAAAACCCAGGTTCTACACATATGCACTGCTCTTAATCCTCATCTCTAACAATAATCTTGCACAAACTCTGGAGTAGAATGGAACGAATGGATGACAAGGATTCATGAAAATTAGGAGTGTGATTCCATCCAGCAGAGGGCACAAGTAGGTTGGGACCAGAGTGTGGATGCTAATCCCTTACTCTGCCCCAAATCCTGGCAGCTTTACCTTCTAAGAATCATTTTCAAAAAAAGGGAGCAGTTATGACTAGATTGTATCTTTAGACTAGCCATCAAATTATATTCTCCTTTTAAATGACAAAAAAAATTCAGCATTTCCTTAAGAGTAAATCTACGTCATTTGTCCAGGCAGTACTCCAAGGCTTTGCTTTCTTCGATTATAGTATTTGAAGAACTACCCTTACCCTTAGTTTAGGGATTCATGGTAACTTTTTTCTTTCTTTTTTTAAAGCATCCTGCTTAATAAGGCACTTCCTGAAATTTGTGAGGTACTATAAAATGACCTAAGGATTCAATGAATGAACTTTCAACTTTAAGAACCATAAAGGGTAAAGGTTCTATACTGGATATTGCTTGCCCCTCACTATTGTTCACAGTAGCCTATTACAAACTGACCCCTTAAGAGACCGAGCCTTTTCTTGCTTGGGGGAGGGTGCTCATTCAAACTGGAAAATTAAGATAATAGCTATCTGCAAGAATAACAATGTTCAGTGTAGCTCTCTGTAGCTATATGTCAGATTAACAGTGACAGGCAGTCTGGTGGGTCTTCCAGCCCACTACAGAAGCAGCTCTGTGACCTAACCTAACAGCATACAAGTACGTACAACAGTGCATTACCATATGGGACTCTAAAGGTAGCACAAGCAGATCATTTCTTCAAATAAATGAAACATAACCTTAGTAGATTAAAAGTTCAATTCTCTACAGCTTCTTTAAATAAGAGACAGGATAAAATAATAGATAACTAGACATGACAGTTTCTTAAACCTTGAAGCCCACTTCCAAGCCAAAAGCATAATAATTATCCCAGTCAGGTGAACAGGGAGAGAGAAGAGAGAAGGCAACAGGATAATAGTGCTTAAACTGTGAGCTGAGTCTGTGGTTAATTTGAAGGGAAAAAAACCCAACAAAATCAAAAAGAACACCCAACCTTAGTAGACAAGTTAACAATCTCCTAAAAACAATAAATAGGCCAAAGAATGACCAATGTTAATGACACCAGATGTGACTGAAAACTCGGATTTACTTACTATATACCTACCAGCTGGCAAGCACTGTTAGGTACAACATAAAATGATGTCATGCAGTCACCGATCCTATGAGGTCAGTACTGCCTCTTAATGGATGAAGAGGCTCAGAGGAATGAAGTAACTTACTTAGGGCTCACAACTGCTGAGTGACACAGCCTGGATTCAATCACAGGGCTGTGGGACTCCAAAGCACAAGATCTTTCCACTTGCATGATGCTGTACCTCAAGAATAAAAATATGACACCCAGCCTTAAAAATGTTTTTAAAACACTCCAAACTAATCTCACCGGCCATCTGATCTCTGTGGTCCTCACACACTGGCTCAAGGTGGGGGTTAAGAGGGCAGGGGATATATTAGAAAACAGAAACAGTGGTCATCTGAGGCAGAGAGTGGGTGGAAACAGAACCAGGGCTGTCTTAAGGATGAGGCGTTCCTCCTCTCTGCCAGGGCAGAAATCCGCCATATCCATAACACACCAGGAAAACATCTGTCAACCCATGACCTTCATCTCAAGACGGCAGACACCTTTGGTTCTTTTGAAAACGTAGTGGCCTTTAAAGACTTTTTCTTCACATAAACATCCGAAGAGAAAGTAGTTCTAAACTATCTCTAACCAACTAACGACCCACCTTCATTGTTCCGTGTCCCCGCCATTATTCAATTTGCCACTACTTTTTCCCCCCCTGTAACTTGCACTTCCCTACCTGCTTTCCCCCCCAAGCTGCAGAAACTCACGTCACACCCAGGCCAAGAGCAAGCCGATCGCTCCCACATCTTGATAGTTCTACCCACTCGACAGCTTTTCATACAAAAAAAAAGACCCCAATTCAATCCCCACCCCCCAAATCCTAACTTTGCCCATTCACCACTCCCAGGTCTTCTACCCATCTCCCTCTCACATCTCAGACTCTTCTGTGCCCCTCAAAATTCGGCCCCGGACCTCCAGACTCAGCCCCACCTCCATCCGCCTCCCCGCGCCCTTTTCGGCCCCCATCCTTCTCTCCCTCACCATTCTTGCCTTCCGCTCCCCATCGGGGTTCCTCTTAGCACCCGAGTCTCTCCATCTCCGGCCCGGGTTCTGCGCCTTCCACCTTCACAGCCCCCCTTTCTTCACGCCCAACTTCACCCTTCACAGCCTCAACTTGTTCCTACCCTGCCCCCAAGCCCCACCCCTCCCCCTACTCCGCTCCTGGCCCCTCTGCTCGGTGCACGCCTCGACCCCGCTTCTTTTCCCCCTCCCCAGCGCCCACCCCAAGTCCCCCCCAAGCTACACCCGTTCCCTCTCCCGCCCAGAAACCCTAATTCTCCCCCTCCCCCTCCGCCTAGCCCCACACCCC